CTAGTCAGCAGCGGTGACGGTGGGCCTGCCACTCACCCCGAACTCCACAGTAGAAGCGGCAGTGACGTTTCTAGCAGTGGCGATGCCTCCTGCGACTCACTCGCCCGGGAGTCCTGCCACTCATGCCGCTTCCTTTCCTTACAGCTGGAGGAAGACGAGGAGCAGTCGGCGCGCAGGGCGCGTGGCGCTCCCACCCTTGTGGACCGGTGGGGGAAGTTGACGCACGGTGCTGATGGTGTACTGTTGGCGAGTTTTCTCTCCCGGGCAAATAACACGTCCCCGACGCAGAAGCGGCGAAACAGCCCGGGACGAATCGCGGCGACGCTCCAGTGCTTGAACAGACTCAACAGCACTGGCTGCATTATCGCCCGCCACTCCATCACACTGCACCCGCGGCCGGGGCTAACGGTGGAGATACCGGAGGAGAATAAGGAGGAGTTTTGCGTCGAGCTTTTGACACTCATGCAGCAAAAGTCGGGTGGTAAGAAGACTGCGAGAAGCTCTGGCGAGCTGCTCTTATCGCGTGGCAATTTCATGGACGCGGGGAGCAGTGCCAATCGTATTGAATTGGAGAGGGAGGAGGCGGGCGTAGTCGCGGCCTCCAGAGGATGCGGGTCCGCCAAACTCATCCTGTTCCCGTCCGCCACACGTCCGCGCAGCTCTCAAGCCTCCGGGAATATGTTAGCGGACGTCCACCCGTTGTGTGCGCCATGGCCAATAGAAGAGGAAAAGAGGAGCTGGACAAAGACGACAGGGAGCGGAACTCCCGGGTGAATCCGTTGGGTGCATCCGAGGAGGCGCCAACCGACATGGCAGGTCCCTCAGTAGCCGTCCCACGTAAAAAACAAAGGGGCGTGGCCGATAAGGGACGAGCTGCTGGGAAAGTCAGGCCAAGGCGCGGGACGACGCACAGCGACAGTGCCAGTAGCAGTTCCGTGAAAAGGAGCGGGAAAAAGTCCTTGCGGGGCGGTTTCTTTTCCCGGATCTGCTGCACTTCATAAGAGAACCATTTTCATCCACCGTTTATGTTTGTCTGTTTTGCTTTGTAATTGCTGTTTGCAAAATACGCCCATTTGTGCGGCGGTGTTCATTTTATATGTTTTTATGCGTGTGGTGCTTGTTTCTGCTGGGGTGGCGGGTCTTCCTTTTTTGATTGGTTTATTGTGCGCATATTTTTGTGATTTTGTGTGCCTGCCGCTGCGTGTAATTTGTGCGGCTTTTGTGCCTGGAAGGGATATAAATGGGACGGAGAGAGGAGTGGCACGGCGTTATTTTGTTGACCGCAAGCGGTGTTTTCCGTTCCACTTGCACCATTTTACATGCAACGACATGCGTGGGAGCGTCGTGGTGGTGTGTGGGGCGTCACTCCGCGCCGTCTCGCTCTTTCTTCCTTTTTTTGTTCTGCTGCTTCTTTGGCCTTGTCGTACTCCTTTCATTGGTGCTTTGTTGTTGCTCTTTTTTCCCCCTCCCTGCCTGTGTCTGCGTGTTTGCCCGTACCTGCGGTGGCACGGGGCCCACGGACAAGAGCGCGAAAGGGACGAAACACGACCAACGAGCCTCCGTGATGTTCTGCCCGGATCCGTACGGCGCAATGCGGCTGATGCAGTACAACATGCAGCGCCGGGCCGTTCAACAAATGGTTGCCGAGACGCAGCGGCAGATGATGCAACAGGGGTGCACGGTCCCGAATGAAATGCCGCCGTCGCCGGAGGGCTTTGGGAACATGGGCGGCCCAAACTCCGGATGGGGCCCGTGCCGGCAACGGGGTGGCAGCCTTGAGCCGACGCCGGCGGGTTATTTTGGCGGCTTCTCCCCGGCACCACAGTTCCTCCCCAACGATCTTGAGAATATGCGTATCCCGGAGGAGCGCTACGGAAACTACTGAGGAGCCGAGCGCCGAGACTCACAGGGGAGGAGGGGGCGTGCCGCCGTCGAGAGTGACCCTGCATGCCGACACGTGGGAGGGGGCTGCAGCCGTGGAGACCGAATATATATACCGAGGTGACAACGCACCGGCCGCCGATGGTGGGTGGTCATGCGTACAAGAAAAGGCGGGCCGCTTTTCTGCGAGGACTCAACAGGCACGCAGGACTCTTTTTGTCCCCTACTTTTTAGTTTTTTTGTGATCAGAAATGTTGAGTGAAACCAACGCAATGAAGTGAAAAGCGTCTCGCAAGATGGAAGAAAAACAAGAGCATTTTTGTGTGTGTGTCGGAGAGAGTCTTTATGTGTCATTATATTTTTATGACTGTTTCTTCTTCTTTTGGTGTAACTTTCTGGGGAACGTGGTCTACTCCTCATCGGGGAGGAGGCGGCGCAGCGTCCCACAGGCGCCGGACGAGCCCTTGCGGTGTTTCCCGTGCCTCCTGTGCGCTGGTGTCGCCGCCCACGCTGACGCCGCTCGCTCCGCCGCCCTGACCCCTTCACCCGCACCGTCCCGGATTCGGGTGGGGCGCAGTGGGTTGGCTGACGGGCTGCGTGGCACCG